AAAAGGTTCGACAAGAGTTTGAGAATAGATTATAACTGGCGATCAAAAATGAGTTGCTGTCGAGTCGGCTTTGGAAGTTCAAGTTAGCTACGATTTTCCATGTTTATTTTTTGATTTGCACGATAATTACCAACCTAAATGTAATGCTATTTGGTATGGTTGGAAAGCATTTTTTCAGAGCTTTCCAACGACGTATCACACATGGGGGGTCACTATTTAAGATTTAAAAGTTGGGGTGGCTGGGGCGCAGGGGGTGTGAGGGGGTGCGTCGCCAACTATGTCATTGTGATTCCCCCTCCGAATTACCGAAACAGATTTTGATTTTTTTAAATATCTCGTTTATTTACTAAGATATGGGGGGTGGTAAGTTTTCAAATTGTCACCCTGTACATATACTTAAATGCACTTACATTTACTTACAATGATTATATTACATATTTCATCGACTGATGATTCACTAAAACGTTTGCGATTCATTTTACGAGCTTCTTGAAAATTTATGACAGACGCGTCAGATCAAGAAAATTAGTTGCCATATGGTTGTCATTCAATAAAAACAATGTACATTGAAAAATTCTCGCTGGGAATTTGTAAGTAGATTATTCCCAAGGTTATATTGTTTCAAAGGTTACCTGGTAACTATGTGGGCGGAAGCAGGAGGGACGGAATGTATACGTCATCGAGAATTCTGACATTGACGTTCAACGTTGTTTGTAGTCGCGCGGGTGCTTATTTTTCTTGAGTTATAGTTTATTTGTTTAAAATTTGTTGAATTTTGAAGTGCATAAGGACATATTTTAGCTGTAGATACCTGTTTGGTGGAATATAAAGACATTTAGTTTGTGAATTTTGTGGGTTTTCATAGCCGTGATTGAAAGGTTAGTTAATCAATTATATGCACTTTTGTATGTTATAATTAAGTATTTTTTTAGATGAGTGGCGGTGACACTAAAATTCTTCATCCTGGTGTAAATAAAATCTCGGTTTTTACGTTTCCAAAGGACCCTACCGTTCTTAAAGAATGGGTAAGAAAATGTTTCACATCCGGCAGCAAACTAAAACGTGCGGCGCCCTCATTGGTCAAAACGACCAACCGATGAAAGCGTATAGCGTCCCTGGCCGCAAACGTTTAAAACCAGAGCCACGAACTCTGCAAAGTGCATCGCAATTTCTGCTTCGACTGCACTTCAAGAAACAAAAAGCTTTCCACCTGCAGAACCAGGTCGCCTTTCCAACTCGACCTCGCGCCACACTCCATAAATCAGAAGACCTGCATCTGGGCTCACCCCAACGACAGAGCTCGCCGTGTGCACTTCGGTTACTATTTTGTACATACTATAATAGTTATTTATGTATTAAGGGCATAATAGTGATGTTTATATTCTCGAGGGCGACGAGTTAAAAAGCTCGAGGGCCTATGGCCCGAGAGCTTTTTAGTCGCCCGAGAGTATAAACATCAATTTATGCCCGTGGTACATACACAATTTTATGTTTTCAAATAGTTTTCTTCGTCAAAATTCGTTTACAAAATAATTCATTATGTTTGATCGAGTATGCGTGGTTCGAATTTGTTAATGTGACTGAAACCATCCAAACGCCAAATGTAATTTTAAATAATTCAATTCATCGTGAATGAGCAAGAAGTTCCAGAAACTATACGAAATAAGGCCAATCTTGTGATTTAGTAGGTATTGGCAATTAATAATTGACGTTTCTAATTTTCAATGACCTGCAAATATTTGTTTGTTTTCTCATTAAGTATAAATGAGTTACTATGGTGATACTTAATGCCCTAGGGCATAAAGTGGTACTTTATGCCCGCGTATCACAGATATAAAATGTGCTATGATAGGTTAGTAAGACATAAATATACATATTCCATAAAACGCAACAGCATTTTATTTGGCGTCATCCGCTAAAGAATGTTTAGAGTTTTAAATCCCAAAGGCTAGGTATTGGTACATAGGGGTGGTTCCTATTTTGTAGAACGCGGAATTTTATCCATTTCCACCTCTAAAATTAATTTGATTACATTTTCACAAGTCCTCGTGCAATGTAAAACAGCTTACGCACCACACTCATTTTTGCAATACTTTGATTGCTTTAAAAGGTGGAAGTCGATAAACTTCCAAGATTTCCAATATAAAAACCACCCCCATATACATATACCCATATAAATCCAAAAATATACTGCAAAAACTAAATTTTTTACCCCTTTTATTAGCATTGTAACCTATGAGCAATTTTAAATGTGAATTCTGGATGACGTTTTCCCGCCTTCAAAATGCAAGCATTCTATTGGTTTAGAGTTACCAGACAACCTTTCTAATAAAACAACCTTGGATTATTCCCACTATAATAATGTTTTGATTGGCTAGAACGTATTAGAATGACTGAAATTGATTTCTATTGGTTTCGAGAAACGTCAAAAAATAATCACTATAATTGATTCAAAATGTTCTGCCGTAATCAGATATTTAAATTATATTTATTATGTTTCCAATAATTTATACAAAGCAGTTAGACAATTATGTTTTTTTACATCATTACATGAAGTAAATATTGTACATTACTATAAAATGTAAGGAGTAATTTGGTCTTCTAAATTCCGATATGAAAAGAATTCTATCATCACTCTTGCATCTAAGCATATCACAGACTGTGTAAACCTTTGTGTTTGGTACACACATTTACTTTTAACAACGCTATTAATAAAATATTTTCTATATACCAAAATTAAATTAACTTTGAAGAATTCACTCTTAACATGTACCTACCTATAAAGACATGCTGTTACCTAATAATTAAGAAATATGAGAGCGGTGAAAGCTTTTACATACATTTTCAAACATGATAGTATGCAGTTTACTTTTTATCTTTAATGATACATATTCCAATTTGATCTTTGTTGAAAGCAAACATTTGCTGGATGGTTTTTGCGAATAGTTGCGAGTTCTACCTGAAACTATCTACATCCCACATAATAATAAGATTCAGGACAAAATGTAAAAATTAAGAGAAGAACAAAATCCTTTTACTACAAAAATAGAAATCAGGTAACTGTAGAATCTCACGCAAAAGTGAAACAAAAACACCAATAAACACAATAAAACATAAAAATTTCGAACGCGTTTCAACAGCAAGGCTGTCATCATCAGCCAACAACTGCTGTTGTTGTTCACTAATGATGACAGCCTTGTTGTTGTTGAAATGCGTTCGAGGTTTTAATAAATTATTGTGGTTTATTGGTGTTTTTGTTCACTTTTGCAAGCTCAACGGCCACAAGTAGTGCTTCCAGTTACTGTAGAATCTCATATTAATAATCACTCCTACAGGTTGTAAACTGTGTCAAACATTAAGTGGCTGTAATGGCATTGTATTTTGTTCATTAAGTTTATTAATGTGTCATATCAATGTTCAAAGTGATAATTTCGGCTTTAACATTGTTTCCTATCTAACCTGTTGAATAAGAATACCTAGCTAATCTGCTCTATTAAAACAACTCTAATTGACTGGTCAAATTTAGGTGACAGATCCTCAAGATGCCTCAATTCTTAAAAGCAAACTTGTCACATTTCACAAGATGATTTTTAAAAATTTATACGAATTGTGAAAAACAAACAACTATAAGTCGAAATTAAACAGCTTAATATGAAAATTTAGTTAGTTAGTTAGTATGTCACGACGGCAACGCTGTAGCATTTTTGAGAGTATTTCTGTTTATTTCTACAAATGTGATTTCTGCATTTTTTTTATTGACAATTTATTTGGAGGTACATCAACCTTTGTTTTTAGCACCTTAAAACTAAATTATTATTTTAATTATTTACAGTTTACAGTTTTAGCTCATTTTGTAGTTTAAAACTTATTCAATTGGGTTTAATAATTTGCCCTTTTGAAATGGGAAAAAGTAGTGCACTAATATTTACCTTTCGGCCTCTCACTGTCAAACGTAGAGGTTAAGTTGGTGCAAAACAAACATTCACGTTATTGTAGCGTATGCGTCCTCTGTCTTTATATCTTGTTCCGAGGACAGACCACATATTATACCAAAAAGACCTATTAAACAATTGCAGTTCACTAGTACAGCGATTGGATCATATTTTATTTCCCAAAATTGATATTTTTAATTATTTTATGCATTGTATACTGAGTATAAGCAATATGTAATTGTAACTATGACTTCATGAACCATTTGAGGAACCTTCAGTTTAAGCTATGCATACTGAATATGGTTACTATTGGAAATGTGGATTTGAAAGACATTTTATTCAGACTAATTAATAAAATAATTATTTCTTATTACCACACTTTTATTTATTATGGGAGGCCATAGAGGCGAGCCTCAATTTCAAAAGCAATTAGGATTCAAACTAAAGCTATCATTTTTGTTGCAAATTCTGTAAAAGTTGAACTTGATCTAACCTTTGTATTTTGCTTTGATCACTCAAATGTCAAAGCGCAGCAGTGTTGCCACAGTGTAAAAAGCGCATGCTACTAGGACGCGCCTATTAAGCGCGGTTTAGACGCTACGATAAATTGTAACAATTTATCGTAACGATCGAATCGTTACGATTTATCGTTGCGCGTGAACAGAGGATTGTAGCGATTTATCGGAATTGGAATTGGATTGGATGGTTGATGGCGGCCGGCTTCAATTTCTGCGAATCGTAGCGATAAATTGGAACGTGTAAACAATAACAGCGATTTATCGCTACGATTTGTGATTAATGTTGCCGACGTGAACCATTTTTGTATCCATTTGGGCTACTTGGACTGTCTCTAGCGCACACGTTTTACATTTGGCGAGTGGCGATCAAGTTTGGCCACCCAAAAAAAATATTTAGCGACACATGGCTACTCATAAATCATAATCGAGATTAAGAGTCTATTGTAACTTGTAAGCAAGCAATGTAAGCAATAAAATGCGAGTATAATTTATATTAGTGGACAGAACCAAAAGACAAGTTGAAAAGTAAAAAAATAAAAACTGTATTAAACCGTGATCGACAATGAGATTGGAACAAGAAATCGTTACATGTAAACAGTACGCACTCTTTCGATTTATTGAACGATAAATTGGTCAATCAGATCGTTACGATTTATCGAAGCCAAGATAGTAGCGTCTAAACTGCGCTTTATGCAACACTATTTGTGTGACAGAGATGAATTTACGCAGATAGATGGAAGATTACACTGAAATGAGAATTGTGGTAACACGTCCGATGGAGACGTAAGGGGCCTGTTTGTTTAAGCGTTAAAAACTCAGGTGGCCTCCAATCCTCTTAAGGGCATTGCGGAGTTGGCATGACACTTACAAAATATGATCTCAAATCACAACATACTTCATGCTGGTTGATCTGAATTATTATGCTTAATTACTGTTTCTGTTAAAAACTAATACCTTAACCTTTAACAAAAGTTATTGAAGGACGTGCCAAATTCTTGAGAATTATCGTCTACTTGATCACCTTTGATTTCAAAAAACCTAAAATTGTTTTAATATTTTTCAAGAGATCCTGTCTTTATTTAAATTATCTCTCGCAATATCAATACCAAAAAAGGAAAAATGTTAGCGAGTCTAAGCATGGATGATATAGTTATACTTATTGGGAATAGATTTATATCGATAAGATTTATGAAAACGTATTAAAAGTTTTCTTTCGATTGTTATCACTATTTATCAATTAATCCATACTTATCGGACATTGACAATTTTCGACAGGTGTCAATAATAATTGATTATGATCATTATCAAAAGTTATCGATAATTATCGGACTAAACAGATTTATCGATAAATCAATAACAATTTCATTTATCGACCAGCACTACCTATGATATATGACATAACCATTGCCTAAATTCGTTCTTTTGAACAAGGATTTCTGTCCAATAACTCATGTCGTTTTGAAGTAACTTTACATGACACGAAAACCACTATTGATAGTAAATTATATTACTATTGTGTTCAAGTAAATTTATGCTGGTACCAACCCCCTTTTATGACTAGAATATGTATCATTTCACATAAAAACAGTTAACCAATACATTAATTTTCAGAGCAGTTTAAAGTTAATTCGGTAGTAACAAACAAACTAGGTACTTTCCAAAGTTCAAACATTTTCATTTCCATATCATCCTCCAACTTCTTTAAGGAACTTAGTTCTGATACTAAAGTAGCCTCTCTCTCCCTTAGCGAACAAAGTTGATTGTAAAGTGCTTCATTCTCTGCCTTTGATTCTGATACTCTCATATGTAATGTTTTGATCTCCTTCTCACGACCTACATTTTACAATTTATATGATATAAATAAATAAAATCTATGAACACTTACTTGTTATAACAGTCATCAAATTAGACATTGATTCCGAAACACTACGCTGACTTGTAGCATATTGATTCTGATCGGCCGTCGCTCCTAAAGTAATTTCGTTTACAGAAGGACAGGTGGTACCAACCATACACTTGTTATAATATTCCACTCCTAACTCTAGTTTCATATCACCAACAACAGCTTGAACATGTTGTCGTCCCTGAAGATGCTCACGCTTGTTGTGCAAATTGTGAAACCATTGATCGCACGTTCTACAGTACAATTCCTCATTATCTTCATCCTAAATAAGAATTTGAAATTAGCTATACTTTGTTTCACTGGTGCTGAAAATGACTTCATAAATGTGATTCTCTCTTCAATGCATTTAAAATGATAGAGACACAAAAATTACGTCATCAACACAAGTCGTGACAAATAAACAAATTGATATCGGTCTGTCAATAATGACAATCCGTCATAAACTATTTTCATACAAATTTCCAGTTTTAAATATCTTATTGATTAGTTTGTGCTGTCACGATAAACGATACACACCATGGTATGTGTTAAAAGTGAAGTAAATATCAAAATTATAAACGCCTAGGCAAGTCGAACGTGCAGCAATGCAGTATTAGAGAAGTTTACATAATTGATTCATATGAATTTAATAGGTTATTTCCGTTACCATTAAATATGACGAACTGATAGTACTGATACACGGAAGCTCAGCAGCAATTTTCCAATATTGATACTCACATCAATATCATCAGTTGCATCCATATCACTCTCAGACAGGACATTGTTCTGAACTCTTGCTTTTCTTTTCTTGGCGAGATACAGCTGGTATGATCCGGACTGCCTGTAAGTTCGCAATTCTTCTCTATATCTCTTCTTGTCTTCTTCTGCCCTCTCTAAATATGGTTTCTTCTCCTCTAAACTTAAACTAGACCACTTATTTCCGATGATTTTGGTAATTTCATGAAATGCAAGTGAACTTGCTTTGAATTGCTTGCGCATATCATTTAGGTACAGGTTATATCCAGTTGCTGGAGCTTTAGGCGGTAAGTGTAACAGCTGCGGCTTACGTTTGCGCCCTTTGGGCCATCCCCCTCTTCTTTTCGCAGAAATTTTACTAGCTTCTATGGAAATGTCTACTCCTACGGAGTGCGCAAAATCTACTGCTGAACTTTCAGTCGTTCCATCGCTCAAATTATTTGTAATAACGCTATTCGTATCGGAATCAGACACGTTGGACATACAGTGATCAATTACAACTGCTTGTAAATGTTTTTTATCAATTTTCAAATGTGTCAATTTATCTGTATAGTTTTGCATAACAGTTGGTGAATTATCATGTACCTGCGACATATGCTTATTTCGTCCCCAATCGCTTGCAGGATCATCACTATCCAGAGTGGTATCTGATGAACAATGCGGGTGTGCAAATGAATAGGCGACATTTTCAGATCCCTCTTTATGAAATTCGTCTTGTAATATTAACTGCTCGGCCACTGTTTTTAAATCCTCTACAGATAAATTTAAATCAGATGATACTGCATCAGTTAATGACATACACACTAATCTAAAAAATGCCATATTATAAAACTGTTAGTAAAAAAAGAACTTTAACTCACCCTTTATTTGTTGCAACCAAAATTCCATTCTGTAATAAGCCTGTGGCTTCTGTAACATGCTGAAATTCCATTTCTTCAGATCCTTTATGCTATTTTAACTAGGACAGTTACATCTTTATGTTTAAGCGATACTTTAAAACCCCCACTAATGCAGGAACGAAAAATTGTATAAACAAATACATCTAAATATATACATATTAAATAAATAACAGATATAAGATGCTAAGGTTAGGTTTGGCCGTTTGCTTGAATCCACAATTCCATAGAAGCGGCTACCCAAGGTGAATTCATTACGAGTTCATTACTTTCAGAGATGTGTTGCACCCTGACTCCCTCGGTTGCTTCGGTACTGCAGGCGCTTTCTTTCGGCTACTTCGCAATCACGATTTCGAGATCGTGATTCGTAGGATCACGTTTTACGAAAGAACGCCCGAATTTGAATCAAAGTTTGGTTAAGTTTACGTAGCGCACATTTGCATTCGAATTACGTATTTTTTGTTTGGATTATGAAAATAATTTAAATACAAGTGGAAGCACGTGCACGATTATGCTATACAAATATTGACTAACCTAACATTTGAGCAAAAATATCCTTGCATTTGTAGGTTAGGAATTTGTGTCAAAATACTTTTATGTTCAGTTTGTTCACGATTTTAGCAATCATGATTATAAGATCACACTTCGAAAGAACGTGATTTGACAATCCAAACGCGTTTGGATCACCGAAAGAAAGCGCCTTGCGCAATCGCAAGCTCGCTAGAATTTGAATTTGCGTTGAGAGCCTCACTTCTCATATAGAAATGGGCTCGAGTTTCCGACCTGTATTCCTGTATATACCACCGTGATTCATTCATAGACATATGAGAATAAGTAGATTGGGCGATGACCAGAGCGCGAAGTGTGAAATGGCCATGGCTGCCATTTTGACGCTCGCCATACAATAGATTATAGTTCTTTCTTTCATAGTCTAAGAGTTACATCATTGAGTTAGAAAACTAATGGAGGGAATCAAATGCTTGGCCAAACGTAGACCACGGGAACCAAAAGTGGCTCTGGCTGTGATTCAAGTACCACACCACAGCTTACTTACTATAGCTGTGACAGAGATATAGATGTGGGCTATATCTCTGAGCACTTGCAGATGTGTTGCACACTGACTCCCTGTACTGCGCAAACGCAAGCGCGCTAAAATTTGAATTTTTGTACAGCTGTCAAGTGTAAGGGGTAAATAATATACATATAACCTGCAAACGTTATAATTGAAGATAATTTAGCTTACCTATTATATGTAGTAGGTATATGAAAATGCCATTTTATCAAGATGAATTTTGTTGTTATCTACATTTGGAGTGCATGGTCATAGAATATGCCAAAGGCGATATTAGGAAACTGCTTCAGTAAAGTACTGTAATAGTTAATTAGAAAGAGTTAATGACATTTACTTACAGCAATAACGTTACAGACCAACATTGACCTATGGTAAAGAGAGAGTCCGGTGCTGAACGAATCACAAAAAACCAGACTACAAGGATCATGACTGATAGCTAAAGTAGAGGTTTGCTTTCAAGTCGGCGCTATAATGTATTTAACTGGAATTCACAGTAGTGACCGAAGGCTTTAATTCGAGAAGAAGAACATATTCTTTCCGAAAATACAGCGAAATTTGGTTTGTAATATGGAAGTCAGCAGGAACTGGTATTATAAACAAAACAAACGGTGGCACGTTAAAGCAAATTCAAATTTTAGCGCGCTTGCGTTTGCGCAGTACAGGGAGTCAGTGTGGAACACATCTGCAAATATCTCTGAGCTGTGACCACACCACTTCCGTTATCATTAGCGTCTCACTTCAGTGGCGTAGAGATATAATTTTCTTTCCACTAATAGGAATAATAAAAAAACGTGTGTACTCTGTTTTTTAACTAGGAAGACGGATTTAAAAACCTGATTTACACTGGAAATGTCACTAGAATCTAGTAACAAAAATAATAGACTCATTTTATACAGACATGTATTGTGGGTTGCGTGATGAGATTTTCTTTCACATTTGGATAGATTTCATGATTTATGCTTTTGGGTTATTATTTGGTAGGAACTCCTTTATATTATGCATACATCATACTTTTAAAAGCGAATTATAATAAATAGGTAATACATTGATAATAGGTAATCATCCTGCATACATTTTTTGGTCTTTGAAACATTATTTTGAATTATAATTTTAAATGTTTTTATCAGTTGTAATACTACACAATCCACATTACAATTTACAACAAATGTTAAGTGATTGAACAAATTCAGAACAATGGAATTATAGTCATATTATTAAACAGCACAGTTCACTGCTTTATGTATAAGCGATTTAGTCACCGTCTTCCGAAAGTTCACTAAAACTGTCACTGTCCCCCGATCCGAGTGAAATAATTAATGGTTCTATAAGTGTGTCCATTAGGCCATCCAATCTACACATCTTATTGTCTTCCTTAGTAACGTGTTGCACACAATTCCGCCAATCGTCAGAGCTCACATTTGCAACAGCGTTATGACCACCGGAACGTTTCGAAGGGGTAACAATCCCAGTACTTCGATATTCTTTTATTATCCGGTATATTGTAGATCGTGCAATAATAATATTCCTATTATGTGTCACACTTTAATAACCAAATATATACCAGCTACATCATTATTTACGTTACCTCTGGTAGATGCAATCTTCAACACAAGCGTAGCAAAATTCATATCCGGGAATCAGACAACATTTGTTTATAATAAACTGCTTCTCGGAGACTGATAAAATGACCTAAGTTTAAGCGACTACGTTTTTTCAAAGGAGACAAGCTTGCTTTACTGGTACTTGGAGTTGAATCCATCACCAATGCCAGTACACTTAGGACTCGAAATATCAACTTATGTTCTTAAAAGAACTGTTTTTTTTGTTAAAATTTATGCAAATGGACTCAGAACACAGAAAAACTCAAAAATAAGTACAACAGTTACGGACGAGAATCACGATTAAATTTGACAGTTAAATCATGTCAATAGCAATCACAGAACAGTAATATTACTGTTCTGTGATAGCAATTTTACCTGGGTGTAAAACGGGCGCAGCTCGAGCCAATAGAAACTAAGATTTTTGCGGGAACTTTTAAATCCGTCTTCCTAGTTAAAAAACAGAGTATAGAAGGAGTAAAATCCATGCTCGTGGTAAAGTAAACAAAATAGACAAGGATAGGAAAGTATGCAGATTTAATATAATTATTGATTACAAATCTAAACATACATCGATGTGTTTCAGTAGTATAATTAAGGCCAGTTTACTATAGCCACTACAACTTGACAACTCCCATTAAATTCACTGTGTTGATCAATAGCTACAATTGACTGGTTGGTCTCAGGTTCATTACAACGGCAGATAGATTCAATAATAATTTATTGTTTATTGGTCTCAAAATGTATCCGCACTCGTAAAAAAACTTACACCTGATATCCATATTATAAACTCGCACGTTTAGCTGTAAAAACAAGTTTTGATAGTACCTACTGCATATTTGATGAACATTTTCCGGTGCAACCTTTGGTCGAAATCACAGTCAATGAAGCGTTGTGAGCACAAAAGCAAATTTCGCGAGCTGTTCTTGAGATATATTAACAAATGTTAGGTAACCATTTTGCTCGAAGTACTGGTTCGTTTGGAAAACATAAACTAGGAAGGTACCTACAACCTCGTCTACAACATAATAAATGACATGTCTTACCGATGAAAGGAAAGTTTCTTCCCTTTATGAGAAATTTTGCATGATACGCAGCTAATCATTCTCAATTCACAAAATTGCGTGTGATAAAAACACTATGCGGCAGTTAGTTATTTATATAAACCAGAGCACAAACCGATCCGAAATTATTAGGTACTTTAAAATGGCACATTAATAAAATTTGAATTTGGTGGAAAACTGACAGTGACAGGACCCGCGTTTTCATATGTCAAATAATGTCGGCCAAAATGTACCTTCACGGGAACCTATCCACGCGAGTGGCCTCTGTCTGTGGCAACTTCCGTCTACAAAAATTCTTACCCCCTCTACCATTATATTCCCTCCATTAGTTTTCTAACTCAATGAGTTACATACAGCCATTCGGAAGAGTTGGATATTCAATGATATAATCTGTGGATATAATTTTACAATGCAATTTGTCAGTGGCGACCTCTATTGGTTCTCACTTTCAAGGGTTCTCATGAATAGTATGCCGTCCTTAAGAGTCTTCTGGTACCCACTGCACCCAATGTAAATTTCCATAAGAGCGCCCGCCATAAAAACTATAGTTGTTTTTCAGAAAAACATTTTTTTTAAGAACTATTTTATAAATTTACGCCTTTATCTACATAATGTTCGGACTATTTTTTAAAAAAAGTTTATAGCAACTGAATACCGATTTTTTTAAAAATTAGATGTTTTGCACCGATTATTGCGCTAATCTGTTTTTTTTTACTCGTGATCAAGACGATTTATCGAAAAAGTAAACCGACAGTTTTCTAGATAAGTTACTTCTAAACATTACCCCAAAAAATGAAATCATATTTTTTGTAAATAAAGTCTGTATCATGGCGGGCGGTAAATCAGCAATTTGAGTGTAGCCAGTGGCGCCACTGCACAGTATTGGCGGTAACTAACTAAGGACCAAAACAGGAGTTGACAAAGCAAAAATATCATCTTGTCTCTCGCAACTATAATCATTTATACACTATAATGTGAAAAAGTTGCGCTTAAGTAAAGAAGACTCTTAAAACTGCTATACGAAGTACGAACCGCCACTGCTTCAATTACATTATACGACCGTGGGCGTGATTCCAATAAGTATCGCCAGGCGGCAGCAGCGTGACTCAATCTTCTCGTGTATCATTTCGTACCTGAAAAGTTCATTTACGAAAAATCATTTATTTATTTCGAATTAAAATTAAGTACTCTGGGAAATAATGGCTCTTCACGTTCCTAAAGCGCCCGGTTTCGTTCAGATGTTAAAAGAAGGCGCAAGAGTAAGAATTTATTAATTATTTTTGACAATCATTAGACATGTGTGTCTACTTTTGATACCTAACCTTAGATTCTTCGTTTAGCACTTCACCGGCTTGGAGGAGGCGGTCTTTCGTAATATTAGTGCCTGTAAGGAGTTTGCACATTCCGTTCGTTCAGCGTATGGTCCCAATGGTATGAATAAAATGGTAATTAACCATTTGGAAAAGCAATTTGTAACCAGTGATGCTGCGACAATTATTCGAGAGCTTGATGTGGAACATCCAGCAGCAAAGTTAATGATTTTGGCTAGTGAAATGCAAGATGCAGAAGTTGGAGATGGTACAAACTTTGTCATTATTTTGGCAGGTGCACTACTTGAAAGTTCCGAAGAGCTTTTACGAATGGGTGTGACACCGACTGAAGTTGCGGAAGGATATGAAAAAGCTTTAAAGAAAAGTTTAGAAATCTTACCATCCCTTGTTTGTTATAAAGTCAACAACTTTCGTAATGTAGAAGAAGTTATAAAATGTATTCGCACATCCATTCAATCTAAACAGTATGGAAATGAAGATTTAATTGCAAATATGGTTACAAAGGCCTGCATTTCTATATTACCAGAAGAAACTACGTTTAATGTGGACAATGTTCGCGTGTGTAAAATACTTGGGTCTGGTTTGAATAAATCTGAAGTTGTGCAAGGGATGGTCTTCAAACGTCAAGTCGAAGGAGAAGTCACCAGTGCAAAAAATGCTAAAATTGCGATGTACAGCTGCGCTGTCGACATTATGCAAACGGAGACAAAAGGAACCGTACTTATTAAAACGGCAGATGAATTAATGAATTTTAGTCGTGGGGAAGAAACTTTACTAGAGGCTCAAATTAAATCAATTGCAGATACTGGAGCAAAAGTAATTGTGGCTGGTGCGAAATTTGGTGACATGGCTCTACACTTTATTGGAAAGTACGGTATGATGGCAGTTCGACTTAATTCAAAGTTCGATTTACGTCGTTTAGGCAAGACAGTAAGTAGCCAAATGGTAGTCGCAAATGTGTTTATCAATTTGGTCATTGCAGGTAAATGCAACTGTGTTACCTCGTCTATTACCACCTACCTCTGAAGAGCTGGGTTATTGTGATAGTGTATCTGTAGAAGAATTAGGCGATACTCCATTAGTGGTTTTTAAAATAGAAGGTACAGAGTCTCGAATATCTACGGTCGTTGTGCGAGGTGCTACAGATAACTATATGGACGACATAGAACGAGCTATAGATGATGGTGTGAATACATTTAAGGTAATCTTACAATAATATCTGTTTGTTTATTCACGTTCCAAATTTTAGTGTCTAACCAGAAATGGACAATTTGTGCCAGGTGCTGGCGCAACGGAAATTCAGTTAGCTCTCGAACTTACCCGTTACGCAGATACATTGCCAGGATTAGAACAATATGCTGTTAGAAAGTTTGCATCAGCTCTTGAAAATTTTCCCAAAACATTGGCTGATAACAGTGGCCATCGCGCAAGTTCTGTTGTTGATAAACTTCTTCAAGCCCATCAGGTAAGTGACTTATGTTAACTAACCCAAAGTTACTTATTTGTTTGAAATAAGAAAAGGCTACATAACTGTACTAGGGGTATCTGGAAAGTAGGTTTAGTTGGGAACATTAATAGTCAACGCGCGGCGAAGCTCTTTTTTCGCGCGCATTGATTTATATTTAACTTTTCTTCTATTGCTTTTTCAAATTTTATGTGCGAATTGTGTTCCTGCATACCTATTCTTGCTTGTTTCCTTTGCCTTGAATTATGTATTGCTGTATTAGTTGGTATCATTTGCTTCAGCTTTATTCCAACTAAAAAATGGTCAGAGTCTAGATTTGGCCTTCTGTAGCTTCTTACATCTTTAATAAGTTTTTCATTTTTAATGTCAACTAAAACGTGATCGATCTGGTTAATCGTGTTACCGTGCGGCGCTCTCCAGGTGCTATGGATCGTTTTGTGTTTGTAGTAAGTACTCTTTATCTTCATATTTTTGCTCATTGCAAAATCTATCAGCAGTTCTCGTTTGTGTATAAATGCATACTGAATTTCTTTCAAATTTCAAACCCCTACGACTTTTTTTTGTAAAAATAAAAATAAAAAAATGAAAAAAATGCTTTTTCATTATACCTCTCCGAAAGTACTGTCTTTTCATGTATCCCAAGCGCACCGAAAGTAGGGTTTTCCCGTGCGAGCCTTAGACCATATAGTACATGGACTGCTATTAGCCCTATGCTTTCAATACAAAATGGGTGGTCACAGATAGAGGGCACTGTAGTCGTGGGTATGCATAGATATATAAATACATAGATACAGCCATACCCCAACATAGTTCAAAAGGACGTACCATCTATTACCATCACTTTCAGCACATTAATTACGTATAGCGCTATCCTTTATAGAGGTACCCTGAGCATGGAAGACAAGATTCGCATTATTTATTATAACTGTCAATCAAATTGGTAACACAAATCACACAGAAAATGATCAGATTTGAGACTTTACAACATAAATAAACCGCCTTTTTATTTATTTAAATCGCATAGCAGCAAGAAATGTTACATTTAAAATGGAAGATGTTACTTAGAAAGCTGGCAAAAGAAGAATTTGAAAAAAATTACAGCTGACAACTGGAAGAAAGTGTGTGAACATGTGGAAAGTGATTAATTATTGGTTGACGTTGATGAACTTTATAATAAGTGTTAATATAATGACAGTGATGATTCAGATTTTGAACTTTTACAAACGTAATGAATGTTCACTAAATGAGTATTATCACCAATTGGATATCATTGTTAAGATGTTGTACCTATTTATTTTAAATAAATGTACACGTGTAGCTTACTTACTATAATTAGCACTATAATTTCAAAAAGAAACCCCACCGATTGGACATATGCCGAAAGGTAGGCAAGACGAGTAGCGACCAAAATTTGATATTGCACGCACACACAGTCTATAAATTTCCTAAGAATATTGCACGGATCCTTCTTTGTGATCATGATACAAACGCACTGCATCAACATCATATAGGCCAAAATGATAATTGGAAACGAATTCACTTCCTATCGCAACTTAATCTCCGTTACCATTACACCTAAAACCATGCAATTAAAATTAAAATGTTGAACATAAACTTTACTTACCTACTTACGGTTTTTTTGATATTCTGCAAGCCAGCAATGAATTCACTGCAGCACATCATGCCAAACAAGGTAAACATATAGTCCTAAATTTGAATGGCGTAGCTCTATATAATAAAACTATTTCAGGAATAACAATTATGGACGCGTCTATCATTATGGCAAGCACTGTTATTCGTATTCAATTGATAACGCAATAATTACATAATATTTAGTGAAAAAACCGCCCATCATGTTTAGGGCGAATATTTTTAGTTAGATTTGATTTCGCGCGATCGTGAAATGTGTCAACTGTCACATGACTTATGAGACGCGCTAAGTTTGTTTTAAGCGTCCGACTCGCGTACGACATAGTGGTTAATGCAATAAAAAGAGATAGAACATGTTTCTTCTTGGTTAGAAAGTAATGGAGAGATGTACAAATTTCTTTGATATGTTTTTTAAAAACCGAGGTACGTTTGTTAAGGATAGCTGTATCTAGGTATTTATATATCTATGTGGGTATGTGAATCTCAGGGTAAACTAAAGTCGTGTGAACACCATTCAGATCGCGTAAAGAGTAGCTTTTATAGTAACCACGTAGTACGGGAGCTTTAAATCCTCTTGATTATCTTCTATACGTCCACAAATAGCAATAGGTTTGATTTTTTTTGGCATATCTAGGCGATTAATTAATTGACGTTTGTAAATTTATAGGTTGACAGTCTCAAATCGTGTCTAAGCGGACAACTTCGGACAGACTCGTTTACCCTGAAACTCATATACCCAGGCGATGTCCTTGACCATATTTTAGTTACAATTAGCAGTCCATGTACTATATGGTCTAAGGTGCGAGCGCACTGGAAAACTTTTTCCCGTGCGCTACGAATAATCAAGTTCGCCATAGCTATCCCTATCCCATGCGTTGCCATGCATACCGCGGATTGACTTTGACATGTCAACCGATTTTTTACCATTGTGTTAAAAATGGATTTTGGTGAAGGCGAAATTCCCGCTAATATATTAAGGGAAGCTGCAGAAACCAGTTCCCAACTATTACCAGCGAAATCAAAAGAGAGATGCGAAAAGGAATATGAAAAATTTCATAACTGGTGCATTGAAGAAATCGTGAAAAGAGTACGTTATGGAGTAGGTTTTCAATGATTAAGAACATTCTTACGGTAAAAGAAAATGAAAACGCTAGCAAATTGTGCAAAACCGACTTTTTGAAGCGTCAGACCGTCCGCTACATCCCAAAAAAATCAAAAGTTCTGTATAACAAGGGAGCAATTTTTGAATGAAGCTGCAGAGATAAAATGGTGATTACTTACTAAGGTTATTTTAGTATTCGGAAATTTGGAGCAAGATGCAGGGGAGACGATACAATTCGCTCGACTATTGATGATGCGTTGAAGATAATGGGGGTTTAAGGGTCATAAGACAAGCAACAGAATTTGTTGTCAAATTGGATTTGGACTTCAATGTAAATAATTATTCTCCGTTATTTTCGGAGAGGTATAATGAAAAATATCGTTCATTACACGTCCAGAAAGGCTTTTCCCGTGTTTGCATGACTTCCCGTGTTCGGCTTCGCCTCACACGGGAAACGTCATGCGCCCACGGGAAAATCTTCCTTTCTGGACTGGTAATGAAATATACTATTCCGGTTTTTCTAGGAAAATTCGAGGTTATGCGAAAATAGTGCAGATACAAAAGTTGTTCATTTTTTTATTCTCTACTAGCTGACCCGACCGACGCTTTCCTCTTTCTTAGCTATGAATACCTACTCAATTCAGACTGGAATAAATAATTACAACAAATTATTTCAAAAAATTTGCTGTGGCTAGCACAGGTATCACCCGCCCCACCTGTGCATGCGCGATTCTGCCCTTGTATGTCTAAGACGAGTCTTCTCGGTCTAAGAATATGTGTAGCAACTTTGGTCCCAATTGGTTCAGCCGTTTAGCCGGAAAAAGGATTTTGACACACTTGCCCCAAAATCTCCCCATCTCTCCCCAAAATAATAAAAAATAAACGCACTCACTTCTAGTTGTTTTTGGCGATTCTGAGCTAGCAACGTACATTTTTTTTGTTGCACCAAATGCCGTAATTTGAAAGCAATTATTGTATTTCTGGATATGAGTCAAGAAATGTATAGAATCTGGTCCATTTCCGGAAATCAAGAAATGTAGTGGCTCTGGTGGCGGTACCAATAGCGTCAATGTCACTTGGTCACTGGCGCAAAATAATCCCGGGACGTCAGTTTTAATCTTAAAAGCCTTGCAATGTGGACACGCAAAGTTCTTTGGTCTAATAGCAACGATTTACTGTAAACAGTAATCGATTGCTACGTTATAATTAAATGCAACTCGTTTCTGCGTTGATCATATTGATTCCGTTGACTTCGTTTCGCGCGTCGCTTTTCTCGTCAGTTTGACTTAAGTACTCGTATACAGGGTGGTCACTTGCGAAACGCGTCATAGGTATTTCAATGTAAAATTTATAACAGGTGATTATTGGCTCCCCAAATTATTTTAGTGCAAAAATGTGTTAAGGTTTTTTGTAGAAAAAATTTTTTTACGCCGATCATCCGTATTAGCTTTCAATTTTTTTCATATAAAGACGGAAAATTGGAAAAATAAAACCCGCATCTTGTTCAATAATCTGCGATGCCATGGAATTTTCTAAAACAAAAAGATATCTAGTTATCAATTAGCAGCAGTTCGAAATGGATTTTATGATCGACTTGGTTACTGTCTTGCAGTGGTGACTTATTCGAACATTTATTGTAAATCGTTATATTAGGAAACCGTTTTTAGTAATTTGGTCTTTCTTTATGTTGAATTCGCTGTTCTAAATGTAATACTTTTTGATAGAATTTGATTTGTTTTATAGCAGACATTCCACGGCATGATGGATATTGGCATAGTTTTTGTATTATAAAATTTCATTGCATCACAGATTATTGAAAAAGATCCGGGTTTTATTTTTCCAATTTTCCCCCTTTATTATGCAAAAAATTGAAAACTAATACGGTTGATTGACGTAAAAAAATTTTTTCTACAAAAAACCTTAACACATTTTTGCACTAAAATAATTTGGGGAGCCAATAATCGCATGTTATAAATTTTACATTGAAATCCCTATGATGCGTTACGCAAGTCACCACCCTGTATATGTTTGACTTGTAGGATTACGAATTCTGCGACTTAAGTTGGTACCATGTTGGTACGTCTAATTAGTAGCATCTTGAAAAACTAAAATTCAACTGAAAATAGAAATTGATTCCCTTAGTGTTTCTGTATAACTATGTATACCACGTGTTTAGTCTATCAACATTCAACACTTACCAAAAATGGATATTAGGTATATCAAACTTTTAATATAAAATGCGTGATTGCGGTGAAATACCTCGAAACTTCTCAAACAACTCACTGAAATCTGGATAAACTATCCGATCCAATTGACAGCACACTATGATGTGAATAAATTAATTTCTTGACGGATATATGCCGATCCATTGCCGATCGATGTAGCTGTTAAAACAATTGCCGTCGCACCGTCAAACGCGCGATGTTTAAATAGTCGATAAGTTTTCTCCAATTTTCCAATTCTTTGCACGATTTTCTTAGTTTTTCTTGCCGTAAGAACCTTCTACACAGTATTAGAAAACTTAAAAAAAAAAGATGAATGAAGTCGGTTAACTCGTTCTAAAGTTATTGCGTGACCAGAAGAAACAGGGGTTCATTTTTATATATAGAGATAACTTACATTTCCGTCTAAAATTAATAGTTTTGCCACAATTTGCAAAACACCACTTTCAACCCCCGGGACTTCACCGGCGGAAAAATTCAGCTGTTTTAATTATTTTTTTTCCCAATTTCAAATCATTTCACCTGCCTGAAAAACCCGGTTTTGCCCAGTGCTGATCGACGAAGAAGAACGTCATTGTTCCATCCAGCATACATCTGTTTCCTATCCATCCCCATCTAACGTCGCCTACCCGTCATCTCATTCGTCTTGGATGTCAGGTCAGAGAACTAGACCTTATTCTGATGGAACATCCCACTCATCCTGGACTCCAGAAGAGATATTAGACGCTACTCCACTATCGTTCCGCTGGAACAGCCTGCCCCAAGACCCACAACCTTTGTTGACTTTGCAAAATGTGAATGATCCTGGAAAGAATCAGCCCCATGGTTCAAACCGTCATGATGATCTACTGAAGCACCCTTTTGTTACGTTGCAATAATAAAATTCCTAATTATACAGGGAGATCAATAATCATATGCTGCGCCGCTCTTATAAAATATCACATTAGTAATCATTTGCCGCAACCAGGTATATGTGTACCAATACAAAACATAACCTATAATTTCACAAACCAAAACTATGATTTGTGATTCTTATTAGAATACTTTCGTCCCTTTCAAAACGGCTTTTTTCAAGACTACCAGTCTTTCGAATATTTACATATGTACAAGGTGGGTAAATTACTTGTAAATTACAAACAAACGTTTTTTTAGTTGTAGCGTGTAATAGGCAATAGGTTTACTCCGACAAGCCTTTTACTTTAGAAGAGAATAAGATGCGTTTGCTGTCCTGTTCCCGTAATGGAACTAAAGACGAAAGTGGAGTTTGGGAGTACTCGATACGTTTGTGTATACAGGAGTTTCGATAAACGATTGTCAACCATGACGAGGATTACAACAATATACGCCGAAATGCTCATCGTTTACTTGATCGGTTTAACATACAGGAAGTCTTGCTTCTGGGAAGTCACCTGGCCGCTTAGTGATTGCTAATAAGGAGGTTGTAAAAGATGCTTTTGCTTGTCTTGAGCAAAGTCGGAAAAAGCAGCTGCGACAATGTGTCCCGCTAACGGGCATCTCATACGGAACGTGTAACGCTATTGCCTGGAGAAAATTGTACTTCTATCCTTTAAAAAGTAACCGTAAATTATTGCATGCAAATTTACGAGATGCCAACGTATTCGAAACCGTTTACACACCATTGCCGAATTACGAGCAGGTATAGAAGCTACCGTTTGAAACATTACGCAACAGCACTTACATGCCGTCTTCGAAAACATGAAGAAAAGAGTGGATCCCTGTCTTAATAATGGTGGCAAGCACTTCGAACAGTTGTTATAGTGTGCATGTAATTTATCCAATTACTTCGATATTAACGAGTTGTAAAAGAAATAAAATCGTTTCAATTTTTGTAGTAATTTGCTATTCGTGTAGTTCCAGATAATTTGGAAACTTACAAGGTGGTTAAATCGTTGATTTAGGTTAAATATGGTTAAACGTCAAAGTTTACTTTAAGGTTATGTTTTAGTATTGGTGCACCAGGCCTGTTGCGGCAAATGATTACTAACGTCATAATTTATTGAAGCGGGGCAGCAACTCAATATTGATCGCACTGTATATAATGAAAATGAATTTTTCTTACCGTAGTGTTAGACTGAGACGTTCTTCAGGTGATATAGTTTCTTTGAAGTTAGACTCTTTCCTGATAATTACTTTTATAGAATTTAAGATTTATAAATAGGTCTGCGGACCCATTCGGTAGTAATCAAAAAACTTCAGGCAGGGTCGTTTTCTAATCCGCGATAGAGATATGATTAAAGTAGTTAGAGCGCGTTCGGCTGAAGTCAAGTGATGTACTCGGCCTACCTATTACTTACGGTAAACGTCCCCAAAAAAATGTTGTTATGAAGGAAACATAATTAGAAATACGGTATGAGTGGTATTTTGTACATCAGCACAATGCAAACGTCTTACATGATTTTTAAAAAGGTATATACAGTAGTCAACTTGACTAGTCTCTCTACTTTTCGACCCTGTTTCAAACCTTTGCACACTAAATGTTGACGACACACCGCGACTAAATATTCACAGTGTAAACGGTAAATCCTAAACGAATATATTTATTTTTAATCAAAACGTATGCGAGACGTATGTAAAAGCCGGGAAACTAAATAATTTGGCGTTTTACGTGAAGTCGGTGTAGTGGATTTGGTTTTTCGATGTTGGCGCCAGAGATCTCCAGCCGCTATCTTGATCTCGATCCGATCAGTGTGTCAACAAGACGTGTGCAGGCCTTTATAAATATCGTTGGTTTTGGTGTTCTTTCTGAAAGACACCATGCCTTTTGTGAAGAAAAATGCTCAGCAGAAGAAGGAAAAGATTGTCCTAGCTCAGCTATATACTAGACCTAGTGGAAAAGTCATCAGATTTAAACGCGTGCTGCATAGCGTGCCGCCGCGTCAGAGCAGACGCCGCTCCGGCGGTAAAAATCTTCCTTATTTCATCATGACCATGTACTTTTCCGTGCATATTTAGATTCGTCACAAAATTTCGCTTCTAATGAGACCCATCTCATTTAAGTCTTGATACAAACACCTTCGCTAGCTCAGAAAAACTGAGTCCGTCCATAAGAGCGCATGTTAAAATACCATGTTTTCACTGTCAAATATCTCAGAAACGGCACATAGGAACACTTTTTTCTTTTGACCATTAGAAAGTGCGTCTCTCAGAGAATAAGTGACCAAATTTTCACCAACTTCTTGTTACTTTTACCTAGGCGCTCTAACTACTTTAAATATGCAGAGACGCGCCCTTTTTTCCAGTATAGGGTTTACCCAATACGATCTTCTTTTTTAAACTCTTTTCCGCCTTCTGTAAGAAGTTTCTAAAAAATGTCCGTCTTCTGCATCCATTTCAATATTTAACCGCAAAAAGCAACAACTACTATTCAACGTCGCGCGTCGCTACTACTGTCAGTGAAACAGCTTGCAATGGATGACCCCTGTTACA